GAATTACCTGCAATACTAAATGCCCTAAACAGCACGGTAACAAGAACTAATTCCACCATCAACTCTTATTTCCTCCTGGGGATGGAAATACAGCTAAAGGAAAGCCAGCTGAAGGTCATTTCTATGGCTGAATCTGGAAGGCACTCTAGAGTTCTGCATCCTCAGCCAGTTCTGCACTCATTTTTACATTCAGAATTCCAAGCTGTGATTAAAATACATTAACTCTTCTCATTTCGCAAAAGCAATTAATATGTCCACAGTGATATACAACTACAAACGATAAATCAGTAAACACACAGCCCCCTGATTTTTTTTGTAATTTCTCTTAAAGAAACACACTATGGTAGAGATAAACTGATCACGGCAGTTTATCATTTAGAGCCTTTTCTTGTCAGTAACAGGACAGTATCCCCAGAATTATGCAGAAACAGCTTATACCTTAGGAAACTGAGTAACCCTTGAAAGGCTCATGTGTGACCTCATCTAGAAATATAATGTAAGACATTCAGTGCTGATGAGGAATCACTCTGTTGGTCCCTCATGCAAATTCTTCACAAATCTGACTTATGATGGTTTATTGTGAGGCCATCTGAGCTGTGTTTTATTGCTCATAAGAGAAGCAGTACATGCTTCAGCAACTTACTCCTCCACACCTTGTTACCACCTTCCAAGATGACTGAGGTAATTTTTATATAGAGTTAGTTTCAGACTTCACTGACTCCCTTTTGTCCATATCATGTAACAGAAATAAATCTTAACTCCTGCTTTTCTCTAGACATCTTAATTTAGCAGCTGATATGGCTGACTGTTCCAATATTTGTGTTCCAATGCTAAGCAAGAATGCCAAAAATAACAGTTTACTAATGGGGTGGAGATCAGCATTCACACCTGCACTCTGAGCACAGCGCTTATAAAATTCTGTACAAAAGGTTACAAATCACAGCAGGGATACACACTTCAGTAAGTATGTGGAAAATACCAAGATCTTATAAACCGAGCACACACATTAACAACATGGGAGTACCCCACTGTACTATGAAGATACCAACACCCTCCTTACTGTGTATAAACTCTAACACCGCCTTCCACATGACACTGCCCAGGTATTCTGAACTGCTCCTCACTGGGTATATTGAAGTTGCCTGTTAGAATGCACCATGAAATAACACAAAGGATATTCTTCAAAGCCACCTACACCAAGGCATTTGTCCAAGAACAATCCTTGGATCTATTTTTTTTTTTAAAAGCTCAGACGACTGACAACATTTTCCTGAATGTCATCAAAACTAGGAACTTGGATTGTGCCAACTTACCAAGATCCAAATCCCATGGGTCTTCTGTCATAATCAGGCAAGTCTGGAGCTATCTTGCATGCTTCTATGTTCAGGTATTTAAAGATGTGATTTTTGCCTTTTATACATATCTTAAAAAAAAAAAATTATTTAAGTATAATTCAACGATACATTTTCAAAGCACTCCACAGTCATTTAACCTGCAGTTGAGAGTAATAACTCAGCATGTTATTGTCAACCAATGCATCTTTTCTTCGAATATCACTGCATTTTAGAGAAACAGCTACAGTGGAGTATCACGGGATGCTAGACAAATGGAAGCTGTCCTCTGAGTACATCTGGTCTGCATGCAACTCTGTCAGCTGGATGCTGAAATTTCATCATGCAAACAAGACACAAGCATTTACAACTACTGGAATTTATAGCCTTGGCAGCAGAACAGATGCGTCCCACCCATGCCCAGCGTCGAATGGCAGTGGCACACCGACAAAGCTAGCTCACACTTAAAGTGAATGAAGCCAGTAACAGCTGTCTTTGCTTTCAAAAGGGAGGCAAAACCCTACTGAAACTACAGGTCTCAGCAAGTGCCACTTGATTCAGAAGCAGCAGCTGACAGTAGAACCTGTAATACTCAAGGGCTAACATCCCCACGTTAAAAGTTAAATCAGTCACTAACCATATTGCAGTTTCTAGCTCAAAGGACAATTTGAGTGCTCAGCTACAAAGCAAACCAGCACCCAGCAGCACTGAGGTCACAATTCTGACACTGAGTGGCACAAAATCAGTCTTGCCTAACAGAGCTTCCTCTCTCCTATCCAGAAAGCAGAAATCTTTAGCTAACTTCACTACAATGCTAACAGTGGAATTCTAAGTAATATCCCATAGGAGAGACTACCAATACAGTAACATAGGAGAAGGAAAAGGGATTTTTCAAGCTGTGGTGTATATTTAACACTTTTAGACAAGACAATTTATTTTAATTCCTCTTATTCTTAAGTAAAGTTTGGAACTTTTAACTTCGTTCTGCCTTCTTTAGTTGAACTAGTAATCTGAATTCCTAGCTGCAGTTTACCTGCGCAGGGGGTGACTGGAGAGGGTTGTTCTCTAACATGATGGTCTGCAGATGCCTGAGGTTCCGATAACAAACTGGTATTGTTGTTATTCTATTGCAGGAGAAATCTAATCGAATCAAAGGCAACTCAGCAAGCTCTGGAGATGGAAAATAAACAGAGTTCAGAAGATTTAAAAACAAAACTACACAAGTATGTGTTTTACAAAATAAGTAAGTATGCTGTTTCTAGCCCTGAGGGGAAGAAAAAGGCATTGAAAATAAAGCAGTGCTTGAAGTTTCTGCTGTACAACTGACAGCCTTTATCTCACCTTCAGGTAAACGCACCAAATTATTTCTTCTGACATTTAGGTCCCGCAAGGATTCCAAATTGCCAATTTGTGGAGGTATTGTCTGTATTTCATTACAGCTCACATCCTACGAAGCAAGGGAAAAGAATGAGTTAGTGGCTTTGGCACTACCACCACTGACTCGTAAGGCTCTGTTAACTAGAATATGTACTACTTTATTCAGGGACTGGAAAAGACAACTATTTACATAACAACTCAGATCCTTATATTCATTAAATATCATTGCTGATGTGAAGCATTATTCCCATTTTAAATACATGGGGAAATAAAAGCTTTAAAGAATTAAGCATTCAAATGTAGAAGTTTATTTCAAGTTATTTCATTCAAGTTACTCCATATTATTTGCAGACAGCACAACTTGCTACATAAAAGCTTTCTGCCACGAACAAATACACCGAGCTCTAATTCCATCCAGACTTCCTTTCAGAAACAGGGAAGACTTAAATTAATATGAATCATTTGCTCTCGACTGCAAGGCATCTTTCCTTCAGAGTTTTGTTTTTTTTTTTTAAATCTCAGAGTATTTCAAACTCTTTTCTAACACCTCTGTACAAAGTCAAAATATACTTGGAGATACTACGGCAGATAGAAATCTTCCTTAGGCTGAGAGTAGATTCAAGTAACTTGCTATCTCATACAAGTGACTGGTTTACAATCACAAAATCCTCAGCAGAATGAGAAACAGGATGTTGATCTCGCACATGCCCAGACAGCATCTGAATTATTGCATTATTTTGATCAGTTTAAAAAAAAGTATCTGAAGCACCTCCAAACCTATTAAACACATCAATTAAAAATTAAAGACTGAACAGTAATAATAATAACACTTCCCCATACCCAAATGTATACTCACAAGCTCTGTCAGCTGCCTGAGCTGTCCGATTTCTTCAGGTATTGAAACCAATTTGTTATTACTCGCTATCAAAACCTTTAGTGGCAGACTACAGAGGTGTACTGGCAACATTGAAAGCTGGTTTCGACTTTTTGGACGGAAAGAAAACAAAATCATCAGAACTCTAATGAGAAATGACATTTTAATGCAATGGGACACATAAAAGCATACTCCATTAGATGATCAACTCAGTTTTTATATAATTACTGTAAAATTACTGTTCCATGAAGTCTGCCTGTATTTTTTTCCTTCATCTAGTTATGTGTGAACAAAGACCTCGGAGGTCTTTTAAGACTATCTTCTACAATGATCTTTAAAGATCATCTCCTACAAACAGAGGATGCTATACAGTTGAATTTCATCAACAAGCTAAGTTGCAGCAATTTGCTTTTAATGCTGGCAGAGAAGCATTAATGCACGAGAAAGATCTTTAAAGCCACCGGTGAAGGTAAAGGGAAATTGCATAAGCATAAGCTGCTGAGAGCTGAATTGTAAAGACTTCCCAAAAGTTCTATCCTCTCTTTTCGGTCTGCATGCCTGTATTTCACATGAAAACTACTGGAATTTATTTGGTGAGTCCTTTAAACTGGAATTAGCTTTCTTCTTCATACTCCACTTCTACAAACTGCTGGTTAATCCTCCTGTTCTCTGATCCACGCAGGTCGGTAAGACTGGTTCAGGCTGCTTGGATTCAGTGACATACAACACAATGACATGATGATTACACATCACGTTAGCATTATTTACGGATGCATCAAAATTCATAAACCTAGACTACCGATGCTAAAGCCAAATTTTTAAGACAACTGTTACCTGATATTTAGATATGTTAAAGACTGTAAGTTCAGAACAGCCTCTGGGATGTAGCGAATGCAGTTCTGGTACAAATTAAGACTCTCGAGAGAAACAAAGTGACATGCTTCTGCTGGAAGCTCTGACAGTCTGTTCCGTGACAAATCTGAAGGGAAGGAAAAAATAAACGTTCAGTAAAGCTACCTTCAAACTTCACGAGGACAAGTATTGTCTGTGCGTTTGCCATCACACTGTGGGAGGAGTTGGACAGGAATCAGTTTTGCTGTCCTGCCTGCAAGATTTTCAAGATTATGAAGTGACTCTCACTTCACACAGGAAATAAATCAACATCTTCTAAAGTCTTACAGCCACGATGAGAAAAGAGTCAGATGCAAACATTACTTTCACAATAACGTTCCCATACCCCGAACTGCCTTATGCTTAGAGGAAGCCGGCTTAAGATGCTGAAAGCTCAGCTACAAATCCCTGTTCCAGGACCATCTTTAGATTACGGAGTTGGTACTGGGTGGGCAGGGCTGTAATTAAAAGAGTCAGAAAGAACTTTACTCCCAGGCCCCTACGAAGGTAGTCTCTCTGCACATGTGGAAATACCAGCTTCAAATTTCTGGTCTAAAATATATACTTCATATAGATACAAGCATTATTTATAGGTAACAGTTCCTACAGGGGAAACATGAGGCACAAACCTAAGACAAGACTTCCATATGCTAGCCAAAGCATTCCCTCCTTTAGAGAGATACCAGTTCAAGCCTGAGATCTCAACAGACAATGGAAGGATTTTTCAATAAAGGATCTTCCCAACTGCTGAAAAACACTCTGCTTGCTGCTAGCAGGAAGGTTTACTGTTTCTCTGTGATCATATGTTCCTTGCTTGGCAACAGACAAAAGTTTAACTAAAACTACTACCAAGTACTTATATTTGAAGAATCAGTGTTTTTCCTCTGCCAGTTCCAATTACGAGTATGTATGTATAAAATATCCATGAGTATTCTCTCTTTCAAGATGAAGAGCAGCACTGTGATAAGTCATGGTTGCAAAGGGTTCTTTTTTCTTTAAAGGTCAAGGAAAGCTCTTCCTTATGAATACCAAAAGACAGTTCTCAAACACACACTAACAGCTAAACACACAGAGCTCTTAATTCTAACAGGAGTCATCCTCACACCACAAGCATCTTGCACAAGCAGGGAGTTCCTATAGAGACACTGCCTGTTTATTAAGCTGATGTTTCACCTTTGTATTTTTAAGGAAGAGCAGGCATTCATTGTAAAAACCCATCTAACCCAAATTAGCATAGTGAATGATTTAAAAAAATCTGAATTTAATAATTATTTTCTTTATTTGTTTTGAATTTCAGTTTCTCCTCATCAGGATAAGAGGATAGAAGCTCCCACCCCAAAGCATACACAATAAACTGACACAGTAATTTCTGTATCTTTATTCCAAGAAGGAACCATCCAATACAGATTATGTTTTGAAGACTGCCACCAATGGAGATAGGTCTTGTGTCTCTTGACATTTATTTGTTCAAGAAGGGAAGCATTACTAGAGTAAAAAAGCCCTCATTGGAAATACCCTGCCGACCACTGTTCCTATGTATGCCTCTCCAGCTTGGCCAAGGAAAACAGGTCACTCCAAGCGCAGCTAGAACCAACCCTAGGTCTACCTTGATGTTTAGAACAAGCCATGAGCAACTACTGATAAATAATCAGTAATTTAAAATCTCAGTAGAAAGAAGCACTATGAAAAACTCTGCAGTTGATTTGAAGTAGATGAAGAGTGCTGGAACTATGCAACAATGTGATGCTCAGAACTGCAGCATTACCAGTGGGACCTCTCTTGTGCCAACACTGATGTAAAACGTAAACAGGAGAAGAGCGATTTCCAAACAAACATACTGTTCCAACACAAATTAAAAAAATGGTGTACCCTGAAAAATTTCTAGTAAGTGCAGTCAATCATAATATTTGTAATCACTGAAATGATCTGTGATACATACAACCTGCCATAACGTTTCACGGTACAGTTGTATGGTACCATAGAAAGGGAGAAGAACGCAAATTATTTCAGAGATGACAAGAAAAAAAACAGAGTAATTTAGAAAAAATACTTAACTTCCACACTGATTTGATGTTTAAGTCCTATTTATTTTTAAAAATTATTACAACACTGGTTCACCTATAAGGTGTGTTTTTCTTAGGGACTCTGGAGGATGGAGCTAAATTCCACCACCTGTCCCACAATGTACTTGGCACACAGCTCTGCTGGCAAAGTCTGGTTTAATACTACCCATCTTTACCAAGAAACAGGCTTCCCAAGTAATGACCCATATTTTCTGGCAAAAGAGTCAGAACGTTTCTTTCAACTCTGTTTTGGAAAGAGTTTAACCACAAACATGAGAATTCTCAATTGCCTTTTCCCCCTCCCCCCCCCCACTTTATGCTACCAAAGGACACTTAAAACGTAGTGTTTACATATTGTTCCGACAATAAGGCATGGGAGTACTAGTCAAGAACTTCATATATTGAGCTACAGTTTAATATTTCTAAATAAATACTCCCTGCAAAATAACATTAGGTATGAAGAAATGCAAATACCTTTAAAACAACAAATGAACTCATAGCATTAGAGAAAAGAGACACCAAAGCTGGTGAGCAGCAATGGCTACATTTTTTCAGACTTCTCACAACATACAGTGATTTTTAGAACATGGCTTTTCTATTTAGGAGTAGAAATTCAGAGGAAAGCAGATTAAATAGGAGTTGAATTTTGATGCTGCAGTATAGTCTTTTAAATCATTCAAAATGGGTCTAACCAATTACAAGTTTGGTTAGTAAGACTGCAGCATTTTTACTCACATGATAGTCATGAGAATGCTATTTTATACACAGCATCCGTGATTTCATGTGCTCCAGTGGGGAGCTAAGATGGAGAGTCTGTCAGGACCAAACAAAAAGGCAAGTGCTAGGGGGGAAAAAAAAAGTCTAAGCTATACTGTAAAACATGAATACCTCCAAAATTAGATAGAAGCAATATATGTTAAAATGCAGTGTGAATTCTGAACCTGCAAATGAAGAACGGCTTTTGGTTATGTGCAACCCCCATCTTGACCCCTGCAAACCTCCAGAAGTATTTAAAATTCCCAAGGCCCAGAACACAACCTAAGATTCGGTGACATTTTTGATTGGGCCGATTTCTCTGGAACCCTCCTCCACTCCAGAAAGCAAACCTTAAATGGGACCAGAAGTGGGGCAGAGAGTACAGCAGTCACTGTACGAAACAATTCAACTCCATCCTCTTCCCCACTTTCCTCCTAAAAATATCTGAATGAAAGAACAGCTCTAGCAAAACCATGAGGGAAATAAACAAAAAGCAGCACTCCAGTGACTAGTTACGTGTTTACATGCACGCTGCCCTGCACTACAGCATATACCTGGTGCTTTTCCAAGAGAAAGTGGGAGTGAGGTGAAGGAACAAAACTATTTGATCAAAAATATCTTGTCAGTTAAGACTTGCTTTAGTGATATTCTTCTGCTATTCCAAGAGAAAGTGGGAGTGAGGTGAAGGAACAAAACTAGAGTATTTTATCAAAAATATCTTGTCAGTTAAGACTTGCTTTAGTGATATTCTTCTGCTACTGTATCCCTAAAATAACTCAACAACAACCAGAAAATAAAAAGGTGTTATAGTAAAATTACTGTGCAAAGATTTCTCTCCATTTCTCCGAAATGTGCAAAGATTTCTCTCCATTTCTCTGAAAAACAACAGTGTTGCTGTGAGATAATTTTTAAAAAAATACTGTATCATGAATCAAGAAGCAATTGATTACTCCTTGGTTGATTTGACAGTTATCAGCGTGAAATCAGATACTATTTGCTGTAATATGTATGAGCACGCCCTTGCTTCTTCACATACCATAAAATGCAAAGAGCAAACAACTGATTTCCCTCCCCCAAAGCACAAACACTGAATTTTGCTACAAATAAGCATAAGTGAAATACGGCTATTATAACATGAACTAGGATTAACTTGTTTGTGTTCACGTTTCATGGGTTAAAACTGCTGTTACCAGGAATCTGCTTTAAAAAAGGTTCTTCTAGACTGCTAAAAATGGATGTGTTTCCTTGAAGGCACGATCATGTGGAATTTTGGCAAAGGGGATGCGTTCTTTGGAACTAAGCTCTTTGTGAAAGATAAAAAAGCCAACAGTACATGTACAAAATGAAATCTCAGGGCAGAGTCAGATCATTGACCTCTTCCATCTTAATTGGGATTCCCTTCAGAAAGCCAGCAAATCCGATGTTAAATGCCACTAGAGAATACACTACGTTTAAAAATGCACCCTTTGGCACTAAATGTAAACTCTTCCTGCTCAAACAATATTCCTCTGACATCAAACATTAGTAGGGCTGTGTTCACACATCTTTTAACTTAAACTGTAACACAGAGTCTGTCTCCACAGGAAAATCCCTGTCGCATAAAGAGGCAGTGTTTAAGGTACCAGGTACTTCAACCCACTGCAGATGCTATGAAGAGGGAGCTGCAGCTCAACTGCTGCTGGCACTCAAGCTCGCTGGGTGGTGGTGAATTCCAATTCATCACGAGATGCTAATGTGATCGGTCCACTAATCCTGTTGCGAGAGGAATCCAGCTTTGGCTCTCATTCCAATTAACTACGACAATAAGGGCAAGGTCTAGGCCTGGCCTGTGCTACAAAATGTCATTGATACAAACCTGCCCTTCATCATCAGAGACCTGCATGTTTTATTGATTTATTTTTAATGTAAGCCAGCAAAGCCTCGATTTTTGGCCGTCTGTTCAAAACCGAAAGTCAGCAACCACCATAACACCCGCTGGCCAAACGCTGATGTAAGAGATGGTGACATGACGTCAGCAGCTGGAAGCGGTGGGCTCCCACCCAGGTTGTATCATGTCTTCTCTAACAACCTGGTTGCAGCTGCGCGACATCAGCCACCAATGCGCCGCAGTGACGCAACAATACTGGTATCTGCCCATTGATCTGAAACCCCATGGTGACACTGGCTGCTATACGTTGCCCTCAACTAGGATGACTTCATTTGAAGGGCAAGAAAACATTGTTTGCCCTAAAACTATGAAGCATGCCATAGTTGTAACTTAACAGCATGCTCAGTTTTCCTTTCGTACCAGATAAATCTAAGATACATTAGCTTGCAGCTTACGGACAAAGATATATTTTCATATCAATAATTAGATACGCCAAAAGACGGAAGGAAAAAGGCTGTAACAGGACAAAGTACAGGTGTTCAAGATGAAATACATTCAAAATCTGGAACTTGTAACCTGACTCCGCCCCCTCAACTTAAAGACCAGAAGCAAACTCTACAGTTTCACAATGATAACAACAAAACCACAATCACCAGCTTCTCATAAAACACCGAAGAATATCCCTGAAGTAGCTGATGTAATCTCACAGCTACAGAAAGCAGCTCACCTGAACAACACATTTACAACTACTGGTCTGGAAGAGTCAGGCTGCTCCCTGGAAATTAGCTGCTGAGGTTACAAGCGTCTTTCAGATAACGTCACTAAACAGATCTTTTGAGGAACTTGATGCCATTTGATTGCTCAATTATGACATTTAGAATCAACTCTATTAGAATGATTACTCACACTTCCAAGTGCGTTTGAAGCGCATTGTTACTCAAACCTTAACTCCATTTCTGCTTGTCATTCATTCTATTAACCACATAAATTCATGCATACTGATCCTGTTTTATAAATTGATCCGTTTCACCTCCCAAACATTTCAGACCATGAAAAGCAATGCTTGTGATGCTGCTGATTTTTAGGAAACACTCCTATAAAGCTACTAAAAGAAAATGAGTAAAATGAAAGCATAGCCCTAAGCAGACAAGATCCTGGTATTATTGTACTGACTTTCCCTGCATAAGAAAACTAGAAATCATCATAGAAGGATACCCCTGTGATGCTGGTGGTCTCTGTACTCAGTACCTGCGAATGTCTTCCCTTCTAAGCCATAAAACCTTGGCATCCTTAGATCCGTTTCACACCTGGAGGATTTCCTGACACAGGAGGAGTGATTTTACCTCTTCCAGCCTGCTGTGATCTAACACTACCACTTTTATGATACCCTAAATTAAAACAAACCTCAGAAATGTCATGTCCTGACTCACTGTCTACCTGCCAGTCTTGTCAAGCCTGAACTCTCCCCCAACCATTCTCCCGTGTATACAAGAGACGCTTCTTGTAAACCTATTAAGTTAAGGAGGAAGAAGGTGGCATTTACTGAACCAAAATGAGGCAATTCCTTCTTCGGTTTACCCAGGCAATGCACACTGCTGACACGACAGCACCACTGCCCAAGCTGCGCTTGCACCCCAGAAACAGGCATAACGAAGACCCTTTCACCTACATTATTTCTGTAGCCATTATTTTCTGTAATGAAATACATCCCCCAATTTCCAGTTTCAATTTTCAATACTTCACAATGGAAAATCAGATTCAGACATGCGATCTACCCTCGATCTACCCTCACATTTCATTTCTCAGCAGATCCACTCCTGGTATGTACGATCATGTTCCTACTTAGCAGCAGTACCAGCAGCGTTAAAGTGTGTTTTAACCATTTCCACGGAGTAACAGTTTGTAACCAAGAACCTCCAACCGGCTCTTTTTTGCAACATGAACAAGCTATGATTTCTGCCGTTACAGAAAACGAGGCAGAGGTTAGTGGTTTATTCCAAGTGTCAACTTGGCGGTGCTACGCCTGGAACGCAGAGGTGCTTCCGCCAAGGCCTTCTTCACCAACTTGAGAATACACTGCATCACATGCAAAACAAACTCCTGCGGTCAGGTCAGCCCGCTAGATTTCCTGCCTTTTGTGCTAACGACAAGGTTTGCAGCATACTTCTAACCAAAGCTGCTTAACACTGTCTGTCCTTGCTAAAACCTGTTTCAAACCCTTGCCAAATCACTGTCAAGTTTTAGATGCGCGGATCAAATACGCTATTTCCTCCGGCTACACTTTTAACCTGAAACATTCAATACAAATAACAAACTTTCTTGCAAAGGTTTTAACAAACAAGAAAACCCCTCACTTCTCTGAGGAACTCTCACAAATCCCTTGCTTGAAGCAATTGTAGTGAGCGAGAACTTTGGCCAAAGGATTTACCTTTTCCTTCAACGCCTTGACTACCAAAGGAAACCTAGCTAGCTTTTTTGTTAATTCAGGAGCATCTGAAGAACAGTCACATGAGAACTTTGCAGAATCTGCCTTCCAAATTACTGCACTAGTTTCTTTTTAGCAATAAGTTGCCCATTCAACTCTTCTCCATTAAAACACATCACAAACCCAAGAAATTAATCAAGTACGAGTCTCTTACTGAGCTTAGTCTCTGCAACGTTGACCATTCTGTTAAGACTAGAAAAATCTATATACAAGATCTGTAAGAACTTTAATTATACTAAATAAGAAAACTCAGTCATACCTGGGATCAAAGAGGAAACAAGATCCTAAGCACCAACTCCCATTCTCTCTCCCTTTTTTCTCTCCACATGATTTTAATGCATATTTGCTGTAGTTTAGCTTTCCCTTTTACACATGAATGAAAACCTCACAGGTGTCACCATAAAAAATACTGACTAAACACAAACATGTATTTTACAGTCCTGCACTTCATGTCAGCTGCTGTACATCCTCTGACAAGAAAGCACATTCCTAATGAAAGCACGACTTTATCACAGGAGCAGACCATGAATATTGCAAGAGGAGGATAACTATTCTAAACAGAGTAACAACTTGGAATACAATGCCACTTACTCTGAGAAATAATTTCATTTTCCTTTTGCAAGAAATAATATTGCTTGTTTATTAAAAACAGAAACAAAACAAAAACCAAACAACAAAAACAACAAACCACCACCAAACAAAACCAAAGAAAACCAGTGGAAACTACAGAACAACATCATACAGTTGTTCTTGCGTGATTACTGGAGAACAGGCAAGAGTGACAACCTACAGTCCCTGCAAGGAACTGAGATCTCCTAATACTCTGTCGATCCTGTTGCTTTTCCTCTGGTTGGCTCTAGAGCAGGAAAAGCAGTAGCCTAAATGAATCAAACTTATGTCAAGTATTATTGATTCATTTTTCAGTGTGGACCCTGGCTTCAGGGTCAGGCACTCCAAGCCAGAGAAGGGAATGATTCCATACTGGCCACGTGTTACCATCCCCTTCCTTCGCCAGCACCCAACTGTGCAGCCACACAGCCAGTTGGACCTCATTACTGAGATCAATCCTGCAAAAAAACAAAGCCACAAATAGTTTTCAGCCCTTCTGAGGCATGATCTGATTCGTGCTGCAGTTGTGTAACCTCTAACATTGATATAAGGGAGAGGACAAGAATGTGAGACTGCATGTGTAAGAAAAAAGGGACCGTGACTTCTGGCATTAGCTGGGATTTGGGCTAGTTGGTTAATTACAACCTTGAAACTACACTTTGTTTTTGTTCCTTAACACACACCTAATAAAACACAGAGTTCTTCTCAGAGTAGCAAACACAGGGTTGCGATCAGGGATTTATTCCCAAGTTCTGCTCATTACAGATAAAACGAAAGGGGACTGGAAGTGTCCA